TCTCGTTTCTTCAGCTCTTTCTCCTTCTCCTCCAGCTGATGAGCCTGCGATAATTTAACATTCATCGAAGATATCAGCACAGCTCTGAAAACGTCATATTGAAATTTTGTAGAGGCTGACACTCAATTTACATGCGTTTTTTTCTGGGTCAATTTTTTTCTGTTTTTCAAAGTTACAGCTGCAAATCATGTCTGTGATTTGCAGCTGTTTGAGAGTGAGGCATGCATGCATGCATCTCTATCGTCCTACCTTCAGCTCCATCCACTGAAACAACAACGCGGCAAGAAAGAAAAAGAAGCACATTAAAAGGAGGAAAGAGTTTTGTATTTACAGCAGAGTTCCTCACATATTCAGAGTCAAGCGTGTCTTCCTTTGCTTACATAAAGCTGCACCATGAGCTTCTCATCTTCCGTCTTCATTCGCTCTTTCATGATAGTGTCTGTGAGCTTCTCCGTGCTCGCCGCCCTCTCAGCCTCCAGAATCTTCTTCACCTGCTCCTCCACCCGAGCCCGAGCTGCTGCCCTCGCCTCAGCTCGAACCTGCACCCTCATCTCCTCCAACCTTCACATGCACAAAGTGCATCTTTCAAAGAACTTAGAGTTGATTAATCGATAAGCTGATCAACTGAGAATGCATCAGCAGCAACTGCTCATGTGTGCAGATATCCTGGGATAATTGTACTTAATTAATAGGAATATATTCTCTGATATTGAAAGTTTTGATTGCAGTTTAACTTTAAAATCTTTGTTATCGCTATTTAAATATTATATTTATTATTGATTTATGGCGTTTTTGCTTAAAAAATGAACAAATTCGAATGTTTTCCTATTAAATAGAATTAGTGACTAAATAATTAATGTGGCATCTTGAGCAGAATTGTGTGCATCGGTACGAATTGACTACAAACCTCTACAGTTGTGTTTTTATCTTATCAGAAGGGACAAATGAGACAGCAAGATTCAAAACTCAGTAAAACATTCAGTCTTGTGTCCTTACTGCCTCTGTAGCTCCTGCCTCTTCTGGTCGATCTCCTCCTTCAGACTTCTCTGCATCTCCTCTTTGAGCTTCTGCCTCAATTCGTCTTCCGACACTTGAGAAAAAAACAAACAAAGCAATGATTGCAAACATGTTAAATCTACTGACTGAGTTTGAACTCCTACTAAAAACTTAAAACTCTTTCCAAATGAAAGCCTCAAACATAACTTGAACATCACTGCTTTAGAACGCTGAAATGGAACTTCTACCAGAAATAATGGTCTGAAATAATGGTTACACATTGGTAATAAGAAAAGCAACAAACGGTGTGTCCCTGTGTACTTATTTTTCTGATATGAGTGCTTGATCTTCTTCACAGAGTCAGTATAGTAAGAAGCAAGGAAACGGAGAACCTCACTGGGAGGCAAATCTGCTGAGGTGGTAGGTGGCGTGTTCTGGCACACGCCACAGTTCGGGTCATTTCCACTGAATGTTCTGCCTCAGAGATTTCAGGATGTTACACTGTAACTCTGTAATGTATTTTAGGCTTGGAAACTGAAATGATCCTGCAGACAAAAGATGGAAATGCTCATTCCCAAATCTTAATCCCACCTTAGAGACAAGTGGTTTATTATTGTTATTATTACACTTTTTGGATGCTTCATCAGCTGTATCTCTCTCATTTCCTCAGAGTCAATCTGAGTCAATCTGACTGAGCAACATTATAAGGTTTGTCCTATTAACCTCCATGTCCTTAGCCACATCATGCACTTCAAAGCATCACAAGAGCTAATTGGAAATGCCAAAAGATTAGGATGGTTCAGACTCACCTGTCACAGGTGGAGGTGGTGTTGTGACAACAGGTACTTCCTTCTCATCAAAAGGAGGCACAGATGGGTTCTTGGGGGACTCCTCGGTTGGTGGCAGTGGAGCTAGAGGTGGGTGAGTTGGGGCAACAGCTTGCTCCACACAGTGACAGGATGGAGATGTTTCTTCAAAAGAGAGCATTGGAGGTGCTAGAGCGTCCTCTGGAGGAGGTGGAGATTGATCACATGGAGGCTCTGGATCAATAGCTGGAACCACGACTGGTGCCTCCACTTGACACTGCTGGTCCACTTCCTCCACTGGTCCAGATGGAGTAGATTCAACCGTGGGTGGAAGTTGGACTGTTTCTACTGGTGGAGGTGATGGGGTAACAGATTCTAGAGGTTCAACAGATGGAGTGACAGTAGCGGGCTTAATAATAGTGGGGGGTGTTTGAGATGAAGGTTCAGGTGGAGCCAGAGATGCTTGAGATGAGTCTACAGACGTGGGTGGGATTAAGGTTTCAGCAGAAGGTGGGACTTCAGCAGGGGGTGGAGGAAGGGGCTCTACAGGTGCTTTGACTCCTGGGGAAGGGGTGGATGGAGTTTGAGCTGCAGGCTCTGGAGGGGCTGGGGGAAAGGAGTGAAACTTCACAGGAGGAGGCGGGATGAGCTTAACAGCAGGAGCAGGTTCCACTGTTGGAACTGTGGCTCCCTGAGAAGGAGGAGAAAGAGAAGGAGGTGGTGCTGCGATAACTGTAGGTGGAGGAGGTGACAAGTGTTCCACAGAAGAGGTGGGATCTGGAGAAGCCACTGGTTTTGACTCATGAGCGAGATGCGGCGAGACGACCTCTGGCGACAGCTTCATCCGCTTGATGACTCGGTCTGACAGCTGATGAAAGAAGAATAATAATAACCGTAAGCGCCACCTGCAGGCCACAAAGAGCAAATTCAAATGTTTCCCATGCTGGTGCTCTGCTCTCTATCACAGGTTCAAGTCTTGCGTAAGTAATGTGAAGTTTACGCATCACTGCCATTAAACACTGCAGCGTTATTTCATAAGACTCAGCGTGCCACTGAACAAGTGTCCAATGGAATTTTATATCAAATACATCAGAAAATAGGTCTCCTTGTTTCTTGTAAATACAATTGAAAAGACCTTCAGACTGTCTGAGCTTTAATATTTTCTAAGAGAAATTCAGAATAAGAACAAATGAGAAATAATGTTATTTTATTTGTGCTTTTGTCTGTTGAACAGCCACCGGCAGTGACATAAAGACACATTCAAAATCCAGAGAAGCAACTTTGGTACAGCCTTGCTGCCCTTTGAAAAAGTAACACTTACTGAGAAAGATGAAAGCATAAATGGTATATAACTTTATTTGTTTAAGAGTGAAGAACCTATCACTTTTATGCAACAATATATATATTTTTAAAAGAGTTCTTATCAAATACCATGACCAAGGCTACATCAGTGGAAAAGTTTAATGACTTTTAAGAAAATAGAAAGCCCAGCAGTATTGCAGCATTGAAAACAAGCCAATCAATCCAATGATATGTCAAACAAAACAATAACTGACAGCTTTTTAAATTGAAATTGTAGAACTTGTGCTGTTTTTAAAACACAATCTCAAACACCACTGGCTCACATGATGCTCCAAACCATGACAGAACCTCCGCCGTGCTTTTACACAGCGGAGGCTGTGTAGACACTTCTCTCCTGACCTCCTCCATAAATTTAAGATTTGAACCTACAACTTCAAATTTAGCTTAATCACTATATAAGTTTAGTTGGCCTTGAATTTCATCCACCCTTCCACTGAGACCATTTCTGACGAAGCTTTAGCAAAAAGTGTCCTATTATAATTATTATTAGGACTTAACTTTCAGATGCTTTTCATCTTCAACTTCAAAGTGAGAGAAAAAGAAAAGAAATGAGAGGTGGCTCAAGACTTTTGCACCGTGCTGTATTTGAGGACCCCAGTGCCTGTATTTAAATCATTCACATTTCTCAGGACTTTTTTAGTGTTATGCTGCCTCCCACTGACAGCACATAACACCAACTAGCAATATGTCTTCTGTATATTTGGACACACTTTAATACAATCTGTAAATACGATCCTTCTTGACAAAATTAGAGAGGCTCGAGCCGGCTCCTACTGGAGAATTATATATTTTAGGATCGTTTTTTATTGCGATCAATTCATGCAGTAAAATTTTATTCTTTGAAGCCAGGGATGTCAAACTCATTTTACACTGTTGGTCACATCCAGCCCACTTTGATTTTAATTGGGGTGAAAATCCCCTCTGTTAGTGTAAAGAAATGTAACTACACACTTAATCCCTGTGATATCTCAATGTAAGAAAAAGGAAGTATGTTTTTCTACATGACAAAGGAACTGTGCTGTAGCTAATAAAAGAAATCTTTGAGCAGGACTATTCTGGCTTAAATTGTAACAAATAAAAGCGTAAAATTACAGAAAGATGTTCTGGTAGGTCATTGCCCAGACCGTCCGGTAATTATAAAGAATAATATTTTTGTTAATTCACAGAAAATGTCCTATTTTATTTATTTGTTTATTTTACTTTAGAGTAGACAGATTAAAAAAGGAATTTCTGTAGTGGATAGTGAGAAAAATAGTAACTTTACTGTTTTTCAATTAACTATTACTTTATAACTTTGTTGACAAATACAGAGACAAATACTGAATAGCAGTTTCTATCCTGTTTTTCTTATATTACTCTTTTGTAATTATATTTCAACCTTCTCTCTTGGCCCCGCAGGGACTTTCACTTAATTTGTTACAATGACAATAAAGATATTCTGATTCTGTGAAGTATGAATGGTGGCTGGGCTGTCTTTATTAGCAGAACAAGCTGTAAAATTTATGAAAATACAGTTCAAAGTCCAAAATAATAAAAAAAAAAGAACAAACTCCAATCCTGTGGGCCAGACTGGCCGGATTCAGGCACGCGGGTCTAATATTTGACACCCCTGATACGAACCAAAGTAAAAGTGGTGTTGTTACACTGTAATGTCACCAATAGAAGTCGATAAAGGTCGCAGATTGAGAATGGCATTAATTACCTGAAATAAAGCTGATTTAATTATAGATATGATGCCGTAAAGAATTAACCCATATATTGTATATTACAGGAATTTAAAGACTTTGTGAAGCAGCACTTCCACACGTGTGGGGAATGTAAGGCGAGCATGCCCTTTCTATTTTTAACCCCTACACCAGAGGGAAGCCGCTGACTTTGTGCGGGGTGACAGACTTTAAAAATGGAAAAAAACAAAAAAACCAAAATAATTTCAAAAAGGGCGTCTAAGACAGGAATGACAGGGCATCACTGACTTGCACTGATGCGCTGTGCAGCCGTGCGCTATACAGATGGAAACAGCTCTAAACAAGCCTTCACTCACCCGAATGCCCTTCAGAAAAGTAATTCCTCCGCCTTCATCTTCCTCACAGAAGTGACTCGGGCTGTTTCCCCCCATCACTGCCCCTGCTGAAACTACAGCACCAACAGCGTGGACGAGTGCTCAGTGACATAAAACCCAAACAGCTGCCCTTCCCACCACCGACAGGGAATAACATGAGCAGCCATTGGATGGAGTTGAACACCATCCCCCTGGATTGGTCCAGTGCGCATTAGTCAGTGAAACGTAAGAGAACAGAGTGTCCCAGCTTTAAACATTCATATAACTCACTTAAAAAGGAAGCATGCACAGATTAAAAACAAAAAACAGTCTCAGTCTTCAGTTATGTTGCCACTTTAATTTCAGTCACCAGGGAGTGTAAAGATTTATTGTTGACAAATACACCTGAGACAATATGACAAGGACACGGGGAGTATATGCACTGCATAACCTGTCCCCCTATCTAATCACGCAATCTGACTCCAGCAGCTCTTCACACATGAATCGGTGAAGTCCTTAAAATGAACACGAACCTGGAGCAGCTAGAGGCTAAAAAAATAAATATCCAAACAACGTCATAGACAAAAAAGAAACGTGGCACTGAATTTGTGTCTGTGAACGCACCATAACGAGGTACTAATGTTAAAACACGTAAGTATGAGAGTATTCGTATTTTTCCTATTGTTAGCAAATCCAATGAAAAGACCAAACTCAGAATCTGTGTAGCCAAAGTATTACAACACTGACCCACACTGTTGCACTGGCTAACAAAGCTCTCACCAGACCCCCAATCACACACTTCGAACAGTACCTACAAAATAAAATATTCACTCGTCCTGATAAAAACAGTCTCCAGCTGTATTCAGAAATGATTTCGTTAAATGACACCGGCTGGAAAAGTGGGACTAAGTGTGAAAATCTGACGTTTTGGCCACAGGGGGCAGTAAAACTGTCAACACAGCAGATACATGCGGCAAACATATTTCTTTCCCCTTCAAATCTATCATTATAATTATAACAGATTAAACACTGAAAACATCTTTACCTAGAGCCTGTTTGTCAAGCGGAAACAAGGAATGTTTATGAATTTTGTATGAAAAAAAAAAAAGACAATTTAATCTGACTAATAATCACTCTTCAAGTTTGTGGTAAAATGCTTGACAGGAAGCTCACAGCAAGTCGTTTTTACAACTTTCTGCAATCAAGCACAAGAAAAACAAGTTCTGGGGTAAATGATGGCATGTATCTCTTTGGGCCTGGAGAGAGGGTGAAAACTCTCTGTGGGTTCATCACCATGATCAAGTAGTCACGTGATCAAGTAGTGTAAAAATATTGACTATAGCTGGTTTTAGAGATCTACATCTTCAGTCACAGCGAATGGGCTTGGTGCTTGGAGTCAGAGAGCACAGGCAGACAAAACCCAGATTCATTCACACGTGGAATTAAAATAAATAAATCCATCACGAATAAGATCTGGCTCAACTGACTCAAAAAGCTCCTAGCAATAAATCTGTGCTGATTTTTAATAATCAGCCTGGCTGTGAGCAACATCCAAGCTAGCTCACATTCATGTCACTGTTCCAAATCAATTAGTTTCATGCATCAGCTACAAAAGCTTTTTAAAACCAGTTTTTAGCTTATTGTGTGGTGAACTCAAGAAACAAAATGTGCAGTGAGACATGTCTTGGTACAAAAAACCAGATGTAGCAGAGAATGTAAACACTGAACAAAATAGACCCCAGATTACGAGAGCTACGGCCGACTAGTTTGTCTCTGTATGTGTGAAGGAACGTTTACTCTGCTGGATTTGATCTGTTCATGGGATTTGCTGACAACAATAAAAATGCAGAACACCACCATCCTTTAAACTGTTCAGGTGGTGTATGACTGCGCACCGTGTAATCAAGTATAAATCTAAATGACCCTAAAACTGTATAAAACTGCTGCGGGATAACAACATCACTCTACGTCCAGCACGATAACTGATTTTCTGTCCACCGCCAGTCTCTGGTTCGTCACTCTGCCTTCTTCTCTTTGGTGTCGGGTCCCTGTAGAGCCGCCCGCACGCTGCTCCACACCTCCGTGTACAGAAGAGTACCGACGAAGACCACGGCTGTCCCCACCCAGTGCCAGGCGGTGAAGGGGTTTTGGAAATAAATGATGGAGAAGATGAGGCTGAGGAACTTCCTGAGCGTCACCACCAGCGTGACCGTCAGTGAGGCGCACTCGGTGGTCAGGATGAAAACACCACGGATGCATACGTACCTGAAGAAACGGTTAAAGACTGCAACAAGACTTGAGATACAGAAGACAAAAACCTAATTTCTTCATGTGTTGCTAAGACGGTCTGTGTCAATTGACCTCGTTAGCTAAACCGCCATTTAATTAATGTTATTTTTCACGATCAGCATCACTGGACAGATCAGGTAGGGATTAATCATATAATGTTATAATATTACTTTGTGTTACGAACTATTTTAGCAGTTGTTACAGCACGAATTTAGATTCTGGGTCATACTGTTTCTCTTACTGAGACAGCATTATAGTTCACATACATGCTACAAAAGCTGAATCCCCACGAATATTTTCTGAATTTCAAATGAATCAGTATATGTACAAGTAATCTCTGTGAACCATAAGCTCTGGTTTCAGACTGCTCTGAACACATGGCTTTGCATTATGTCAAATAAAAAGGATATCACTACCAAAGTTATCTCAGACACGCTTCGGTTCTAAGCACAAAAGCCCCACCCACCTGCTGTACAAGCCTTCTGTTTGCAAAGAGCAGCCAATCAGAAAGCCGTGTGGCCTTAAAGGGAAGCAGTTGAAATATTTAATTTAATACAGTGGATGAGCTGAGAGGGCCCAACCAGGAACCAGCATAAGAGTTAAGCATTAAAAACAGAGCATAATGGGTCAAATTTGATGAGTAACAAAATGACTTTTCAGTGCTGCTGCAGTAACTGCTGTTACTGCTGCCTTAACATAAGCAGCTTTGCCCAAATAACTCTGTTTTATCATTATAAATAAAGGCAAAGTCAGTAATCAAAATTCAGCTGATGCTCAGAAACAATGAAATTTGATGAGTCAGCTGTTCTACTTAGAGCAAGAGGTGATGTATAAAATTTCAATGATTAAAACCACGCTGTAGTTTTGACTTTTGGTATAAAAATCCAAGCACCTTCTTCCTTTACAGCAGTGCCTTTCATGCCTTTATTTAAACAAAACAAAAGAAAAACCAGACAAGCTTTCATCAGCACAGAGTTGTCCACCCACTCAGGTGAAACATGAGCTGGCCTCACAACGAGAGGGTATTACTTCACTGATGTTGTCACAGAAACCGGGCTCAGTGCTGTGAACATGTCCAGATACTTGATCTGTGAGCTCGCCCGAGAAGTGAAGCTACCATCTGTGGGACTAAGACCTGCTGACTCTGTGAATGCCGCCCAGACGTGACTAAAACCACAGGGCTGCTGAAGCGAGGCCCACCTCAGATAGATCCTCTGCTGTGGTGTGAAGAGCTGTTTGTGACACCACAGTTTTTAAGTCCAGTAAGAGCGCGATACTTTCAAACTCAACAGCTGTTCATAATGTCAGCAGTGGGCTGAATGTGTCTTTAGTGCAAGCTGAGAGAAGATTGATCAAACTAAACCGATTTTTTTAAATATTTGCTTTAATAGCACACACATATGTGAAGTGCTCAACAGTTATCTCTGCCTAATTAGATGATTAAACTCTGCTTGGCATGTGGATGTAAACATTTCTTTAAAACTGTGTCCTTAATGATATGAATATTGTTTTTGCATCTGATGAAGGTCATTTGGACCGAAATTTGTGATTTAATAAAACAGCAGTAAGCTGAGGTTACAGTTTATATTTTTAGCTGCTGGGGGAAAAAAAGCAAGTTATGAACTGTGATATTGTGTTTAGTAGAAAAAGAGAAAAACAGTACAAGCTAACTGCAAAAGTACTTGTTTTGGTAGGATACTGTGTGATGACATTGATCAGCAGGTAGATCCACATTATCGGCACGGTCAGTTCGACCCCAGGAATCAGCATGGGAGCTGCAAAGAAAGTAATCATTGACACCTGTGGTGAAACACGCACTCTGAAAAAGACTCCCAGAATGAATTGATGGCACTCACTGCTCTGACTGAAGAGGACGCAGTGGTTGTAGATATTTGTAGAGAGAAGCAGGAAGCCCGGCAGAGGCAGGCAGTGCTGCAAAAAGATGCAAATGAATCACGTTAAAGGATTGCACATTTTAAAACAGCTCCATGAAAACATTTGTGGAGTGAATTCCTGGGCTGTCGGTGCTGGAGGAAAACTCACATTGTAGAAGAGCGCCTCTTTGGAGTGTTTTCCATACTTCTTGTACAGCGTCTCCTGAAAAATGCCCATCCTTGCAGACATCAGCAGGGCAAAGGTCAACATGGCGATACCTGAATGCATCCGTACAACATGTATATGGAATATCAACATGACATGAAGTGTTATGTTTCTATTCTAAACTTCCCACCCCTGCAAATGCCTCCAACACACAAAATGATTGGACAGAAACTTGTGACTTACTACTAAACATACACATCAATATTCACATATCTGCAAAAAGCCAGCATCAGCTGCTACTCACCTATAAGCCAGTGCATAAAGGTGTAAAAGCCTTGGTCTTCTGAACCCTCATTTGACACATTCTGCAAAATCAGGAGTGCAGTTTATGAGAGCACACTTAAACAAATGCTAAAATGACTCACAGTCAAACTGCAGCAGTACCCAGTGTTCTGCAGAGGACTCACCACTTGTTTGGCAGACATGATGGTGCAGATGAAGATACCTGCAGAAACTAAGGCTATAGACAGATATTTGCTGGCCGAATATCTGCGGGGAGAGAAGAAAAATGTGGGTAGATTCACTACGACTCTTTTCAACTTTTATTTAGATTTGAAAGCTTCCTCTTTTCAATAGCTTCGACTACACAGCTGAAAAAAAGTGAATAAAATTTGCATTTTTAAGCCCTGAGATGAGCGTTTTCATTGTCGCCACCTTGGTTGAAAACTTGGCTGGGACAAGGAAGGGAGGAAAGCTGACTCATTAACCAATGAGCGGATAATTCTCCGTTCATAAACATAATATAACCAAGATTTACAAAAT